GGTGCAGGAGGGAGCTCAGGGATGGATCAGAGAGTTCGGGGTGCGGGCTCTGGCCAGGCAGTGCTTACCTTGGGTGGCTTCCGGTCGGCAGCGCAGCAGGGCTAAGGCAGGCTGCCTGCCTGCCCTGGTCCTGGGCCACTCCCAGAAGCGGCCTTCGGGTCTCTGCAGCCCCAAGGCACCTGGGCAGCCAGGGAGGCTCGAATGCCAACTCTGCAGCTCCCATTGGCCAGGAACTGCAGCCAATAGGAGTTGCAGGGGTGGAGCCTGCCTTAGCCACGCTGTGCTGCTGACCGGGAGCCAGCCGAGGTAAGCGGAGCCAGGGGGCTCCGTACGCCGCTCCCAGAAGTGGCCAGCACATCCTTGCGGCCCTGAAGGGGGGCCAGGAGGCACCGCACACTGCCCTTGCCTGCAGGGATCACTGTTACAGCTCCCATTGGCCACAGTTCCTGGCCAATGGGAGCTGTGGAATCGGTGCTCGGGGTGAGGGCAGCGCGCGGAGACCCCTGCCACCCCCACCCACCCAGGGGCCACAGGGACGTGGCAGTTGCTTCCGGGAGGAGCGCAGGGGCAGGCAGGGAGTCTACTTTAGCCCTGCTGCATGCCGGACTTTCAGCACCTAAAATCTCCCGGGTTGGCTTCAGTAGCCTCTGGGAGATAGAGCCTGATTCTGGGAGACTCCCAGCAAAACCAGGAGGGTTGGCAACTCTAAAGAGACAGCATATTGACACACTCACTTTCTTCCAACGCACACTCTCTCTCACATACACACTCCCCCCCCCACACTCTCTCTCACACACACTGTCTCCCTCCCCCCCCCCCCCCCCCCCCCTGTCACACACACTACTCCCCTTATACCCCCCTCACTTCTGTTAAAAAGCAGCTGGCAATCTAGTAGGATGAAATTGAGAAACTTGCATCAAGTGATGCTGTGTCTGCCCCGTGAGGCATCGCAAACCCTTCCCAAAGCACCCTGCAGCCAGTAGCCAGTTGCACAGTGGGATAGCTACCCACAGTGCACAGCTCCCTATGTTTATGCAAGAGCTGCTAGTGTGGATGCGCTCTGCTGATACAAGGAGCATAGTGTGGACATGCAACAGCGGTTTAATTAAAGTGGTAGCTGTATGTCAGCATAATTTGTGGTGACAAAACTCTGTAGTGTAGACAAGGCCTAAGACGATACTATTATCCTTTTAAGTATCAGAGGGGTAGCCGTGTTAGTCTGTATCCACAAAAATAACAAGGAGTCCGGTGGCACCTTAAAGACGAACAGATTTATTTGGGCATACGCTTTCATGAGTAAAATACCCCACTTCTTCAGATGCATCTGAAGAAGTGGGTTTTTTTACCCACGAAAGCTTATGCCCAAATAAATCTGTCTTTAAGGTGCCACCAGACTCCTCATTGTCCTTCTAGTAAACTTCATCTAAATGCAGGCCTTTTGATGTAATGACAATTGAGTATAGTTGCATACATAACGCAAAAGTAATATGGAGTTACAAGACATGAAAAGGATTTAGCAACTACAGGTTAATTTGGTTACCCTGATATACATTTAACAGAATGTCGGTAAATACAATTACACTCTATTCTTGATTTTTATCAACACAAGTGAATGGGCTTGTCTCTGCTAACCTATTTATGTACCTTTGTTACCCCCACACAGTGAATTAACATTTCTTTGAGGTCATGCCCTGAGCTAACTAGCTATCAGCACCACAGGGACATTTTGCTGAAGCCATTAACAGCTGTGGGAGTTTTTTGAAAGGTCAGTAAGTGGGTTGGGGTGCTGTAAGCTCAGAATTCTCCAGGAGTCATCCTCTGTCCCTCTCTACTAACTCTCCATACTCTGTCAGCACAGGGCTCAGACAAGGAAACAATTCCCCCCCCCTTCATTAATATTTTCAGATAGGGCCCAGGACAACATCCCACCATCTCCACATAGTTTTTTAAAGGAAAAATGACAGTATTCTACCCTATATCTGAATTTTCACCATCACGGAAACATCTTCTCAGAGTTGGATTTTTCCCTCTCCCAAAACTGCATTCTATCCTTTTGAACTAGGAATTGAATGGGGGTCAGCTCACAGCAGTTTGGTGCATCAGCACATTTATGTGGCGGGTGCCAGAATCTAAACTTAATCTCTTTTTAAATGAAAGTCAGTAGCCATTATGGCTGTACAAATAACCATAGTTTTACAATTCATCCAAAAGACTGTACCTCCAGCAACACCTTAAAACCATGCTGGGGCTTTGGGTCATTTAGCAATGTGCTAACTTGTGGAAAAGTACCACCTACTGAGTCATTAACACAACTCCCTGCAGCAGCTTTATGTGTCTCTCGGCCAGGTACCAACTTGCTTGGCTTGATTCTGCTTTGCTCAGATGGAGGAAATGGAATCACAGTATAAAGTGATGTGCAGTCTACTCAGAGAACAAATGCACGGAGCCTTTAATTTTCAAAATAGCTTTATTTGGTCTTTTTTCAGCATAGCTAGAACACAATGATAAATAATAGAGTCAATGCATTAGTAAGAGAGGTAGCTTCAGATAAGAGAATCATTAAGTAGCAATAACAAAGTCCCTAGCACAACAGATACTATCTCTAATGTCCTTACAAACACATAGATGAATACACATTAATACACATACAAATGCTTGTATCACACTGGGGTATTGAAACAGTTGCAGCTCTGGGAAATTGAAGAAATCTGTCTTTCCTCACAGGAATGGATTTGAACTTTGAATCTGAAACAGTTACTTTAGTCTCAAGAAACTCAGCTGCTAAATGTTCCCTGTTGCCTTAATAAATATGCATATAGCATTTACATAAAACTGTAACCCAGCATGTCTTACAAAAAGTTAAATAACGTGGAACATGACTGATGCTAGAACAAAAGCTAATGGACTAGAATAGCCAAATGCCTCACAGGAAGGTTTTAACAGTGCTCTAGATGGGATACAAGGCTTAAACCTTATATCCACAGGAGATTTAGACGTCTTAGAAATGATAGAAGAGAAGTAGCAGCTGCAATATTCATTCATAATGAAACATGCATAGGAATGACAGTAAACAGAGGGTCAGCTCAGCCACTTAATTCCCGCAATAATGCATGAGAACTGGCCATGGAATCAGAGGAGCCCAGCTGCAGGGTAATGGATTAGAAAGCGTACACAGTGCTAGCAGATGCATTAGTGATACCTATTATGTTGTTATAACCATGTTGGTCCAGGATATTAGAGAGACAAGGTGGGTGAGGTAATACCTTTTATAGGACCAACTTCTGTGGGTCGGGTGGAGAGAGAAGCTTTCAAGCATATACAAAGATCTTCAGGACCTGAAGAAGAGCTGTGTATATGCTCAAAAGCTTGTCTCTTTCACGAACAGGTGGTGATTCAATAAAAGATATTACCTCACCCACCTTGTCTCTCTAACATCCTCTCAATAGACTACAAAGGACTACTGTTTCTATAGGAACAGGAAGCCATGCTTGTCATGGGTGACAGCTGCCGTTGGCCTGTGATTATTGCTATAGGTTCAGTGGGATTATTTGCACGCTTAAAATTAAGTACATGCTTAAGAATTTTGATGGATTAGGGCCACCATGTGCACGCACATGCACAAAACCCAAAGCAAGAACAACAAAAAAGCACCACAGATATCTTCAGATAAAACATTTTGAGCTGTTCAATTTCTCCAGAGCTTGACCTTTTCTTTAACTTGACCTCTTTAGAGAGAAAAGCTTAGGATATGCTGGTTTTCTTTAACCAAGCCCCTGCTAAACCCACCCATCCTTAACCAAATTAAAGTGACCAGTCTGGAACATGCCGAACCAGGATAACCTTAAAAAAGAATCCCAAAATGCATTAAAGTCAGAAAAATCCTAATGCTGATGATGCATGAGGTGGTCAACTTTAAATAGCCATAACTTTAGATGAAGTCAGTTTTTCTTCCAGTGTTGCTTAGATTTTTAATACTCAGCTAGGCTTACAAAACAAGCCACATTCATGGTTTCTAGCTTCAGCTGTCTGAGTTAGCCCCAGCACAAAATTTCTGATAATAAATTATGAGCAGAAGTGTATTTTTCTCATTTGTACAACTCAAAAATGACCAAAGTGATTGTTTGAACTAAGAAGAAACAAAGATTGGGCTGAGACCAACACTAGAAACTTTAAGATCATATGGAATGTGTGAAAAAGTTAAGACCATTGGGAAAAAAAAAGGGTATTGGAATGAATGCTTGATCTCAGCTTGTAGTAATGGTTTGTGCTGCCCTTATATAAGAACATGACATGGTGTCAAGGCTGATTCCTCACTCTGGCACTTCGAGTGCAGAAGGTGGGGGCCCACAAGGATTCTAAAAACTAATACTGGCCACTCCAGGCTTGTATTAAACTCCCAAGGTCACAGCTTTTCTCTGACCTTGGATTGGTAGATACTGCCACCACCCAAGTGCAGAATCCCTTTGAGAGCCCAGGTGCACTTGGGAATTCCTTCCTCGAGTCCTTTCACACCCCCACACCGGGGAAGAGGTGAGAAAGGAAATCAGCTGTTGCCACCAGCTAATGAAACAACCTGTGCACTAACCTCTTAAGACACAAAAATCCAATTCTATTCTTATAAAAGGTAAATTTTATTTTAAAAAAAGGGAAAAAATACATCTGGGAACTCAGACTATTGCTAGAATTTAAAAGAGCAACTACAAGGATTAAGCACCAAGAATAGTTTTCTTGAGGTCCAGCTTAAGAGTTACAGGCAAAACAAAAGCACCTGGGGTTAGCACAGAGGAATCCACAAGCCATAAAGAAATAAAATGGATAAACCTAATCGCATCTTCCTAGACATTTCCTGATCTACTTACATAGCTGGGGTTTTAAATGAGTAGTTTCTAGGTATGATACTGATGATTTTTTCATACCTGGCCCAAGCTTCTTACAGCATAGCTCTGTCCTGTCTGCCTCTCCCCGGGAGAATAACAACAGACAGACAAAAGAGGAGTCATTTTTTCAATTTTAAAAAGTTCTAGCCTTCTCATTGGCTCTTTTGGCCAGGTGCTCACTCACTTCTTTTTACCTATGCATGCAGTGAGACTTTTTAACCCTTTACAGGTAAAGCAATTAGAGAACAGCTACTAAGAGGGATTTTATAGCTACTGGCTGGATGGGTGGAGTGGCTCTCCCCTGCATTTATCACACATGGTAAATCTATTTTATGCAAACTTTTACATAAATGCTGTTGAAGTCACACAAGCACACCCATTAGGCAGGTCAGAGTGTGCCATCTGATGTAACATTGAGAAGTAGGATGTTATCTCTAGGTGGAGGATAATTGCTGCCCTGTGCAAAAGCATTTGGTTATTCTGTATAAATAAGTTATCAAATGCAGAGTAGAGAGAGCTAGTCCAATGTCACGTAAAAGTCCAGGGAGGGCATTGTGAGGACTAGTCCAAACATTCTGGCAATCGAGCAGGGAGTAAGCTGGGGCACTAGCTGGAATTGTTACTTCAGAAAACACAAGCGGTATGATGGGTGAAAATGGAATGGAAAAGGAGCAATGAGGAATGTCAGTATTCCTATTTTTGGATTTTATTTTAACTCCTTCTTTCCTCTCCTCATTTTCAACCTTTAAAAATAACTTATTCTGGCTTTTTTAATCCTTAAGCTATTAGCTTTTATTCATTAGCTTTGCCACTACTGCTCTGTCTGGTTAACGGCCTGTCTTGAAATCCTATAGCTCTTTCACCAGTAGTGCCAGGTAAATGCAGTGTGGCTGTAGCCATGTTAAAGATCAACAGCAAGAGAAGGAATGTAAGGAAGGGAGGCAACAAGTCTTGTGAATGAATTCCCTGGACAGATGATCCAGATCCATCAGTCATTCACTGCTGAAGAAGAACCTGATCAGCTAGATAGGAGGAAAGAAGCAGGTGGATAGTTGCTGTCCAGTGGGACTGAGACAGATGACATTAGGTCTGTATCCTTATATGTCTGAATCTGGTGTCAGTGTTTTACTTCCTATCTTCCAGCTACAGAGTCTAGGTTGGATCACACTTCCCTTTTATTGATGTTACTTTCAGGCCACGCCAGGTCACTGCTCCTAATGCTGAATCAGGTTTGCCAAGGAATGATCCAGTAGATGGGTTAAGATGCTTTAGATTCTAGAAAAAAAAATGGAAGAAAATCTTGTTGATTGTTGAAAACAAGAAAAGGGGACTGACTG